TGAATTTGACAACTTTTAAATTGAACCGTTGAAATATTTCCAAAAATGTAATCAAGAATAAGTACAGTCACAACCGCACCTACTTCACGCATCATTCGCAGCCAGTTAAGTTATCTGAAAGCATGTGGATAAAACAGTAAATAGACAACCAAATCATGATATGCCTTACTATGTTTGTAAAGTAGGTGAGGGCATAAGCGGCCACCATTTTTGCCTCCGAGTTTGGTAAAGTACGTTCAGTAAATGGCTTAATGCACCGACGATGCAGACTAAATCTCAGCATGGATTCACTAGGATAGCAGAACGATTTACCTGGAACTTGTACGCTAAAACCAACAGTTATAGCATCAGGGCATTATTCCTTCACATTCCAATGCGGTTAATTAAAAAATGAAATAAAAATAAGTCTAATGGCTGAGTACAAAATAATGATTTGAAAGCATAGGAAATCACATTCGAATAGATCAATTAGCGTAATTATCTAACTGATCATGAATTCACAAAACTTAAAATTAATTTAGTCAGGGATTCAGTTTGGTTTTCTGTGATAAAATTTCAAAGTACTAAAATGTGCGAAGTTTTAAAGAAGACTTTAAGCAGAAGTATAATATCAAATGGAAGGGAAATTAATATAAATGATATACCAAGTAATACAGCCATATTGTGCAAATCGTGAACGCGAACCAGGTATTCTTGTATGCAGTAGGCCGACATCTTATTAAGGTGGCCATTAAGGCCGAGGCCAAGGAGAAGACCAGCTTGTTCTGGGGTAGGGAGGAAGCCTGTAGATAAGCCCGAAGTCCCACTAGCACTACCAGAAGAGTCAACGTGAGAAGGTGGTTGGTTGAGACTACGCAGGTTGTGCATAATCCATGTTGAGTCAATCTGGAATGCATAGCAGAACAGGAAACTATGCAGATATGACAAAAACGAATATCAACCTTCAAAATAGTGCATTATGCGGCCTATTAGATAGTTAAATGCATACCTTGTGAGACATTAAATGAAGCTTTATATTTAGTAATAACGCAAAATATAGAACATACAAGCTTGCGATATAAAATGTATAAAAAAGTGAATTTAGCACGAGACAACCTTCTATAAAATGGGCTATAAATGCTAGGTAAACTGAACACACCTACAAAAATATATAAATATGTAGATAAGTCAGGGATAAAAAAGTTATTGATATAACTCCGCTGGTTATTGTAATGAGACGTTTAAAAGGTTGGAATAAGGTCCAGAATTATTATAGGGACGGCAAAAATTGGATGCATGAGTGAAACTATTATCCTTAATTTCATCAAATTAATTTAAAATGTTGTATAACGAAAGAAGGGATTTGGGGTATGGCATATCAGACTTCAGTTGAGCCTTAAGGGCATATTCATAATTTAATTAAATCAGTCCAACGGAATAATTCAAGAATTGGCTACAAAAAAGTGGCTTCTTAATATATAAAAATTCTTCCAGTCATTATAATGTAAAAATTTAAATCTTATGAATCAACCTGACTTATTATACTGTTCAAATGTGTATATATGTGTATCTATTATCTTAAAGTGAGGACAATGCTTTGACGTCAACTAACCGAGGCATGTGGTGAAATCATGAGACCGGTGGCAACGCCGTTGTGGAAGGCTGGCCAATGTTTGGCTGCTAGCACGGAAGCTGATTGCTGAAGGTTGGCGGTGGATGCGAAGGCAGCAGCGGCATTGGCAGCTCCGGTAGCAAGCGTAGCTGCTGTGAGACGAGGGTCGGGTGGCGGAGGGGGTGTGGATGTCAAAGAAGTTGATGAGGGAGGCAAAGGAGCAAGCGATGGCAATGATGATAATGACACAGGATTGCAGCCAGTTCCGTTGGCAGCAGCAGAGCCAGATGGGCACGTGGAGGTCGATAGGTATGATCGTTTTGGAGCCAGAACTGGCAGACGCATCAGAGAAGAAGGCATACAGGCAGTCTGAAGAAAGATGGTGTAAGAAAAAAAATCCATTAATTTTATTAAAAAGCAATTAATTATGCATTGCAGTAATGAAAGAGGGGATGGCGGTTAGGCTTAGGGCACGAAAGAAGTATTATAAGGTAAAAAGATAGTACAGAAAATAAATTAGACCAACTATGGCGTACAGGAAAGATTACAAACGAAAAGTAGCCTGCCACTAGCTGAATGAAATAATCTATAAGGAAATAAGTGAAGGTAAAGTAGTTTGATTCGACAGATGTATTCGTAGCTGACGATTAAAAAGAAAAAATATCAGCCAAAAACTTGGAGACAATTTTGTTATATGGTTAGAATTTGTTAAAACTAACCCCTCATTTATGGTACTGGTTGTAAGCTAACTTGAACAGGATGGAAAACTGAAACTCGGATCCCAAGATGCTTATGTGAGGATTATAATGCGCAACTGGATATAATAATGAGAAAATTTCAGAATATTTATAATGGTCGCTTGTACGCCTAACATGCTAAGACTTCATGTGAATAAAAATTGATAGTTGAATTTCCCACATTAATATTGGTAAATGGTTCAATATGATGCTTAGCCTTCCCTTCTAAAATGCTTTAGTTTCCAGAGTGGACTGAAGTTTTGACCTCGCTCGGGTCTTATCAATATACTATTCATGTTATTTATCCAGATGAAATGTTCGTTTCGAAACATGCTCACAACATATATTTACCAAAACTGAACAGACACTATTCAATCATATATAATGCCCAATTTATTTCAGCCAGCTTGAGAGAGTAATGGAAATAGTAAGGTTGGATTAAAGCAGCTAACATCAGTCCAAGAATAAGTATAAGACCAAAACTCGTAAGACTAAAATGAGCTTACTCTAAGCGAAGCGCCTACACCACATGCCGCTACTGCTGAGGCTGTGGCCAGGGCGATTGCATTGTAAGGGTGGTCACTAGCATTGGCAAAGAATACCCCCGTTTGTGGTCCATAAGCAGCGTCATCACTTGACCACAAGGCATCTATATCGGTTGGATCACCTAAATCAACCAGGCCAACAGATTCAGACCTGGGGATGCTAGTGGCTCCTGTCGATTGGACAGTTGAATGCCAGGGAGCCGAGGTGCCTGTTTGTGCTCCAGCAGACATACCCACTGAAGCGACCGATGCCTGAGCCTGTGGAGGTGGCTGTGGAAGGGATGGCTCCGGACATCGAGCCAGATCAACTTGGTGTCGGCGGCGAGAGTTAGGGGAGACGGCACGCCGACCACGCAAAAGGATGGCTGGTACGGTTAGACGATCTGGAAGCCGGGAACCTGCAAGACATGAGAGCGTAAGCATGCCACGACCTAACGGCAACGCAGTGGCGCGGACACCTGCTGCTGCCAAGTGCATCTCTACGCGCGCCTCACTGACACGCTGAGCACTGGGTCCACGTGTTAAAAATGCAGAAATGGCAGCAGCCGCAGCCGCGGCCGCGACAATTCCCCCTGCATTTATGGGGTTGGTGGGAGAGCCGGTGGATGGTGGAGGGTCAATCACTTCCTCCTCGGGTTCATGGATGCGAGGGATGGAGATATGGCTACAGGTTTGTAGCAGACGGTATGCCTCACGAATTCGCAAGTCATTCTAATAAATACAAAAGAAAATTTTTTAAATAATTAAATGAGAAAAAAACGAAAAAAGTTTGCTATAAATTTCGTATGGCAAGGACAATTCGAGATTCGTTGAAGCATTTTGCTTAAAAATGTGCCTGAAAGTAAAAATAATGACTCCCTTCTGTGGATAATAAATAATTTCAAGAAATGACGAACTGCATCTTCATGCCCAGTGGAAGTAGTAAGGTATAAGAGAGGACTAGTGGAAATCTAAAGTTCGACAACATTTGCATAACAACCAAAAGGCGCTGGGGGTGTTGATAAGACCGATGCGAGGTCGAAACTGCAGTCCACCCTGGATGAGAACAACTTTTGG